ATGATTGTACCTAGAAAAAGGTGGAAAACGTTTTCTATTCAAAAATTTACCTATCAAACATCTTTTTATGGGTGGAAAAGTAAAATATTTTTCTTTTCCATGGAAAATTAAGGCTATCAAACGGAGCCTTAATTTTACGATATGAAATCATTAGTTGATGTCAAGGTTTAACAGTGGACCTAGCCTATACCGCTAACAAAATGGACAATTATTCAACGAAATTTAACTTTCGTAACCAAATTGGTCAAAAAGACTACTTTAAGAATCAATTTGAAATTTTAGTTGAACTTCACTGACTTTATGAAATAAACAAAGCTCAAGAACTGAAAATTAAGCGAAGAAAAATTGGAATTAGATATGCCAAAAAGAGCGCAATTATTCTCATTAATTATGCAAACATGAAACATCACTACATGGATTTACAGATCATGACCCAGAATCTACGATAAAGCGAAAGAAAAAGCGGGTAAGAAAAAGTTGAAGTTATTGGGATCTGAAACTCTCTTCTTCCAGTTCTTGTACGGCGGCCTGTAATTGATCCGGCTGACCGGCGACGTAGTCCAACAATTCTTCGCCAGCTTTCTCATCCGAGGTCGATGCCGGTGGCGGAGAAATTCGTTCAAAAACTAACACGGCAACGAGAAAGAGCGCCGTCGAGACGAGAAGAGGCCAAAAGTACTTAATAATATCGAGAAATCTAGGAGAAATATAGAGGATGAAAAGGATGGATGAGCATAAGGTAATGGCGGAAAGGATATGGAATTTGAACTTGAGAAGCTTTTCTAGGATTTCCATGGTGGATTTAGGAGGCCTTGTGGAGGAATCGTTATTTGTTTTTGTAAGAGGAGGAAGGGTGGGGGTGAGAGAGGTGACGACTCTGTGCAGAGATTCTCTGCCGGAAGACGAAGACCTTTGTCAAAATTTGTTTTGTCATTTTATTTTAGACTTACGGGATTCTCATCCCCAAATTACCCATAGATTTTTACTTATGAACACAGTAAAAAGTTTTCACCTTTTTAATTATTTATTGTGATTACAGAATTTAATTCTATTTATTTTTTAAAAATTATGTAATTAACTTTAAATTTGTGAAATCGATTGATTATAAAGTATTTTGAATATTCAAAATTTTAAAATCTCTCAGAAAAATTTGATACTCCTCCGTCGAATTCTTATCTTTTATATTCTATTAATTAGTACGTATTCTCCTTGATGATGATTTATATTAAAATATTTTATTTTCATATTTTGAAATGAGAAAAAAATATTTTTTAGCTTTTTATTTATTTATTTTTTTAAAAAATGATGGAAAATAAATTTTTTACACCATTTCAACGAACTATTGGATATAAAAATGTGATCAAATATAAAATGTGATAACTAATGAAATTTTGAGGATAACAATGATATGAAAAGTAGTTAAGAATGTAAATGTTACAATGAGCAAAGATTAAAAACTTTAAATTCAATTAAAATGTGGCAAAAAAAAAAATAATTTGTGGTGTGAATATACACATATTGTATTCACGTGTGTGTCGGCTATTGCATCTACCGGGATCCGTTTCGCTAAACCCGGTTCTGAATTTGGTAAGATATCGGGTCATCCAATCGCAAACTCCATTCGGGTTCTAGACCCATCGCCTTAGCAATTGGCTCAGCAGCCCGGTTTACAGTGCCAAGCCGAGCCTGCCTGAGGCGCATCAATGGCGCCTGTGAGAGCCGCCGGCACCGTTGTCATCGCGCTCTCCATAGGTGCCATACTCTCTTACTTCCTCCGTAGCCGCTCAAAATCTTCTTCTACAAAGACTTCGAATCGTCAAAATTCTAGAAATGGACTGGTTGCCGCCATTGGCAATACCCCTCTTATTAGAATCAATAGCCTCTCCGATGCCACTGGCTGTGAAGTAATCCCCAATCTTTCTCTCTATATATGTATATACATGTATGCATATAGTTGTTTGTGGATTAATTTTCTTTTGATGTGTTGCCTCACGAATTTATTTGTTTTTTGACAGATTCTTGGGAAGGCAGAGTTTTTAAACCCAGGAGGAAGTGTAAAAGATAGGGTGGCAGTGAAAATAATTGAAGAGGTGGATTAACTGTTTATTTACTTCTACTGCTTCCAAAGTTATGGTCTTTGCGCTTGATTCATTTTCTGTACTCGATAGTCCCAGAAAAAAATCTGTATTTTCAAAGCCATCTTAGCTAATTGTTGACTATCTAGAGTTTAATTCGACTCATTACTGGCATTCTTTAATACTTTCCTTATATTTTCACCATCTTATCCATCTATATATGATTTTTATGATCACAATCACCTCTCGTGCAGGCCTTGGAATCGGAATCTCTAGCTCCAGGCGGTGTTGTTACCGAGGGAAGTGCTGGAAGCACAGCTATCAGTCTTGCAACAGTTGCACCGGCTTATGGATGCAAATGTCATGTTGTTATTCCAGATGATGTTGCTATTGAGAAGGTATGATTGGTTATGCTTCATTCAAGAATTTGGCTGTTTTTTTTTTTTTCACTTCCTCTATCTTCTCTAGTTAAAATTCCATGTGTAATACAACTTCTTATTTTCATTTGCTCACATACTTAGTATTGTATGAACGTGCTTGTAAATTTAGTGCATTTGGAACTCTGTGTTAGATTAGAAAGTGATATCTTTTTATCTAATACAGCGTTTGGGTGTATTGATCAGATTAATGCAGTGAAGTTCTGATGTCTAGATTCATAGTGTGGCTTTTTTACCCTCTTACTTTTTCAGTCCCAAATACTGGAAGCTCTTGGTGCTACGGTTGAAAGAGTTAGACCGGTTTCAATCACACATAGAGACCACTATGTCAATGTTGCACGGAGAAGAGCACTGGAAGCAAATGAAATAGCATCAAAGCACCAAAATAATACCAAAGATGGCAGTCAAATTAATGGCTACACATCGGACAAGGAAACTCAAAGTATCTTGTATGAATGCAAGGGTGGTTTTTTTGCAGATCAATTTGAGAACCTCGCAAATTTTAGGGCTCACTATGAAGGTACCGGACCTGAGATCTGGGAACAGGTCAGAGGCAACTTAGATGCATTTGTAGCAGCTGCTGGCACGGGTGGTACAGTGTCTGGCATTTCTAAGTTTCTGAAGGTTGATTTTTTATTTATTTTTGATTCTCTTCCCACGGCTGCAATTTCTAATTCCGTTTCTGATGAAGATAGTGATATAACCTGTTTTCTCTATTCAACAGGAAAAGAACTCAAGTATCAAATGCTTTCTCATTGACCCTCCTGGTTCTGGTTTGTTCAACAAGGTAACCAGAGGAGTCATGTACACGAGAGAAGAGGCTGAAGGACAGAGGTTGAAGAACCCATTTGATACTATAACAGAAGGAATTGGGATCAACAGATTGACTGAAAATTTTAAGTTGGCAGAACTTGATGGGGCTTTCCGAGGCACAGATATAGAAGCTGTTGAAATGTCTAGGTCAGTCTTGTACTCTTTACTTATGTACCCAGCGTTGTATCGATATTCTGCACAAAATTTCATGGCTATTCCTCTTGAACTACCTTATGGTCCTTTTCTATTATTTTATGTTGTTAGAGAGGGATGCATTTATATATTTATTTATTTGAATACAGTCTCAAAACATAACCCTTCACGTACAAGACGGCAAGACTTGAATAAACGACTAGAAAGTTTCTCCGGCCCTTTCCTAATCGGGGCTAAAATCCCGGAAATGAAAAATGCCAAAATAGCCTTTACTTGCTCTATAATGATACCATGCTGAACTACCTCGTCTTAGAATTTGAGCTGTTAGAAAGGAGACAAACTTGTTTATACTGAATTATGTCTTCAACAATTAGTTAGCGAAGACTGTCAAAGGTAACAGGAGAAGCAGTAGTTCGTGTGTTCGGTTTTCCCTTTTTCGTGTGTGTGTGTGTGTTCTTTTAACTTTCATGTTCCCTGTGAAAGCAAATTTATTATCGCTCAAATCCATGGATGCTTTGATTGATAAGACTTATGATTTCCTTGTTACTCGAGAGAATACCCATAAACCAACCAAAATGAACGCCAGAAGGAAATACATTTTGCAATGTGCATAGTTGTGAACCTGTAAAACCTGATGTTGCTAATGTTGTCCATCAGGTATTTATTGAAGAATGATGGCCTTTTTCTCGGGAGTTCTTCGGCCATGAACTGTGTTGGAGCTGTCCGAGTGGCACAAGCGCTGGGCCCTGGTCACACTATAGTTACAATTCTATGCGACAATGGGATGAGGCACCTTACTAAGTTTTACAATGCTCAGTATTTGTCTCGATATGGCTTGACACCTTCAGCTACCGGATTAGAGTTTCTTGGTCTCCACTGAAATTTGATTTGCGATAAGTTTCTTCCCCCCAGTTTTGACACTAATTAGTTTCTTAATCAGAAAGGTATTTCGATCTTTTGTAAGAGAGTTAGAAAGAGGAGCTAGTTTCTGGATTTTGAGTAGGGGTGAACGCGGTTCGGTTTGGACGGTTTGTGCAATATTTTCAACTCAAACCATTTCATGCGGTTTGAAATTTTTTCAAACCAAACCAAACCGTTTTATTTTTCGAACCAAACCAAATCAAACCATAATTTGCTGGTTGGTTCGGTTTTAATTCGCGGTTTACCTATCGACATTATAATAATATGTTTAAAATAAGTTAACATATAATTTTAAACGAGAATTAATAATGTTAAATATTAAATTACATTCATCTTTCCCACGAAACTTGTGAATAAATTATTTTCAAAATTGGTTGCTAAAAGATGTTAAAACTCATTTCGTCCTACTAGTGAGATGAAAAACAAGGACTGAACATGATGTGTTTAAATGTACAAATAGTGATAGAGTTTAGATTTATTGGAAATTGACAAATTTTATTATCTAACGACTTTACGAAAGTAGAATGTAGTAGTATTAGTTAGNAATGAGAATCTAAAACTTATCAAGAGATGAGAGAAATGGTGATTCGGGTGGAAATCAGCAGACTAACAAGCAAAAGACGACTAACGATCATTTTGTTTAGTAGTGGTAGGCAAGTGTCAAATGTTTGAAAAATGAGAGTTTGGGTAACTTCTAAAGTTGTGAGCATGATTTGATGTCGTGTTTTGTTATATTATGATTTGGATTGTCGAAAATAAATGCTTTTTTTTTCATATGATTTGTGATTAATTTTAGTTTAGATTAGATATCATGTGTGTTGTGGACTTATAAAATTATTGGTCAATAATGATGAAATTAATTTATTTTATATGATTATTTTAATGAGTTGATTGTAATTTGTATTGCTAAATTAGTATTTTTTCTAAAAAGTAAAAACCTTAAAATTTGTAAGTTAATAAAATTAATTTTTAATTAAAAAATTAAAAACGGTTCGGTTCGATTTTATGCGGTTTTTGAAAATTGAAATATTAACCAAACCATTTTGAAACGGTTTGGTGGAAAAAAAACCGCGGGTCCACGTGGATCCGAACCAACGATTTAAAACTAACAATTTCGGTTCGATTTGCGATTTTTTTGTACAGCCCTAATTTTGAGGATGCTCCTAGTTTTTGAATGTTTACTGACACAAAACTTTCAAATTTGTAATTTTTAATTCTTGACTCAGGAAAAGTTAGATAAACACAATTTTGATACAGCGCTTGTTTGTTTCAAATTTTTTGTTTTTAGCAGAAATCAGACCATTGCTCTTAAAAAATCATTTCTTTATTCATTTCATTTGACAAAAAATTACATTTTACCGTACAATTTATTCTTTTCTTTTCTTTTCACTTTACTTATTATCTCCATTCTCTCGAAAAATAAAAATAAAAATGCTCACAGTACTCGTAAAAAATGAGGGTATAAATGGAACTCACAAAGAACAAAATATGAAAATTAACTCCCTCGTGAAAATGATGGGCCACATGATTTGATAGGAAAATGAATTCTACTCTTAACAATGGCACCCAAATAACTACTTTGGAAAATTAAAAACAATTGCTTCAACAAATAAAAATAAAAATCCTATGGTCTTGTATGAGAGAGATTAAAATCGGATTAAAATTGAAAATATAGCCGTTATTGTTGACTTTTATTAAACGAGTATGACCCAATAAGGACCATATTTTCAATTTTAATTGACTTTTAATCCCTCCTGAACGGGGCCTATATATAATACTTACTTTTTTTATGTACTAATTCCCCCAAATTGACGCATACTATCGTCAACTTGAAGCTTAGGAGAGGGTATACTAACAATGAAACCATTTCAAATAGAAATCGGTCCGACTCAGGTAGGTTTCACGGGAAGTCAAGTCAAGTTTCGTGTTAGGTCCAACTGAAACCCTCAATTTTTAGGTCATTAGGAAAAAAACGATTTCATGATACCACGAAATAGGTTAAGTCCATGTTTAAATCACATTAAATTTTTCATTCTCATTCTTCTACTCATTTTCAACCACATTCTTCAATAAAATAATATTTTCCATCACATCAATAGTTTTTCCTTATTTTTAACCACACATTCTCCATCAATCTACTATTTCAAAATACATTCTTTCAAAATAATGTAGCTCAAACACATCCTAATTGATAATTCCGAGTTGGAATTTTACCCAATCCACTTAGTCAAGTTGATTATGAGCGTCTGTTCGAGCCCAATCCAAACCGTGTTATTCCTATCGAAGCCCATCTTCCCCTAATAGGCCAACCAAATGGAACCACCATCAATCAACAGGTGCAAAAACATTCATCCTGGCCGTCTATTATCGATTCAGTTCCCCGTTTAGAGTACTGCCCAGTGTCACTGACACTCCAATCCGACATGGCACTAAAATGGTTTTAAAATCCGGATTTGGAGTCCGCTATAAATAAACTCCTCAAACAGTGCCCCACCATTTCGAAGCGTAAAAGAATCGTTAATCAAAAGAGAGAAATGAATGAAAACCAAATCACTGAGTGAGCTTCGAAAAGTGCTTCAAGAATCTCGTAACTCTGCACTCAAATCTCTGTAAGCTGTGTGTATTGGCAAGAATTTCTCTTAGAATCTTAATTTCCACTGTGTTTAATTTGTCTATTGCTGTTTCTTCACGTGTTTTTGAGGTATGATGCACTTGTGTCGCCTAGGGTTCTGGATTATGCTTCGGAAAAATAATTTTCCGACTGCTCCTTTTTTGTTTCTTCAGCAAAATTTTGGTTCTTTCATGTCTTCTTCTAGTTTAATTGCTGTGGGGGAATTCTGTGGATCTTATTAGGGCTTGTTGTCGCTGTATGTTTAAGCATACTTTTGTATTTTTATATGTGTAACACAAACATTTGCAGGAAGTTGTGCCTTAATCACGTATGCATGTTCAAATTTTCGAGTTTATGGTACAGCTTCTTTGTTATATATATATATATATATACATATATATATATATATGTATGTATGTATAATTTAGAAAAAACACTTGGGCTCAGTACTTGGTTCTTTTTGATTTCTGTCTTTGTTTCTTCATTTTTCCATTTTTCGCTTTCAATTCTATATTCTCATAAACTATGATGTTTTCTTCTAGTTTCTGTCTGCAGTTTATTTTGGATCTGTGAAAAAGGCTATAGGATAAGCTCTCCAATCTTTGAGTTTCACTTATTATGGGTGAGGAGGATGCCCAGACAGATAAGCCCAAGGCAGCTGCAAATGGGAATGCTAAGCCAGAGGAGAAGAGCGAGGTCGTCACAGAGAAGAAAGGCGAGGAAAGCGAGGATGAATCCCAGAATATAGATGTGGACAAAGTGCAGATCAACAAAAGCGAGGAAACTGAAGAAAAAGAAGCAGAGAATGGAATAGGAGAAAAAGGCGAAAAGGAGATGGAAGAAACAAAAGGAGAAGAAGAGAAGGAAGAAACCAGAAGTGAGGGAATAGAAGATGAATCTAGCAAGAAGCCTGATGATGAGGCTGAAGATAAGGTTGAAGAAGATGTTGACGAAGTGAAGGCTGAGGAGGAAGATCCAAAGGAAAATAAGGAGGTAAAAGGATCGAAGAAGCGACCTAGAACCAAAAGTCGTTCTGGACAAAAAGACAAGAGTAAGAAGAAGAAAGCTGAAGAGGAGAAGCCAGAAGCCCCCATAGAGAAAAAGGCAAAACAAACTAAAACCCCTACCAGGAAAATGGAGGAGCCTAAAACTACTACACCTTATGCAATTGAACGCCCTGTACGTGAACGAAAATCCGTAGAAAGGCTGGTTGCTTCTATCGAGAAGGACAATGCTAAGGATTTCCAAATAGAAAAGGTCTTTTCTTTTATGTTTCACTTTTTTGACCACCTTTTTATAAATTTACATTTTAGTGTTTGGCATTTAGCGTAATGGTCTATTGATGAAGATATACTTTGTGACATAATAATGTTTGTTTGCAGGGTCGTGGAACTGCACTGAAAGATATCCCTAATGGTACATCTGTTAAATATTTCTTTGGCTACAATTTACTAATATGCATTCACATTCACTTTAATTGAAATCGCAATGAGAGTTGCAGTAATACGATTCTTGAATTTTAACTCTAATGTGAGCATATGGATATGGTTGGTTTGCTCATGGTGGTATTATATGTAGAATAATGCTACATGTACATTATGATACACATAATGGTGTCCATAATGTACATGTGGTGCCCCTCTATTGGGGGGAGTGCCTGTGGGCTAGGTGCTCGGGGGCATCACATGTACATTATGGACACCATTATGTGTACCATAATGTACATGTAGCATAACCCTTATATATATGATATAACGGTTTGGGCACAAGGCCCGGGTCGTTACATCTAAAGACATGCCTTTCTCCATGTTATTATCTGTGTTATACTTGTCTTGAATTTGATTGAGAAGTTTGTTGTGGTATATTATATGCTAGGATTTTTCATTTAAACCTGGCTGTGGGCAGGTCCACAAAAGAATATTTAAATTCTCTCATATATTCTACCTACTTTTCATTGTTGTATAGCTATTAGGCTGTAGAGATGAATACAGCATTGTTTTCTGAACTGCATTTTTGTTTCAGTTGCGTACAAGTTATTGAGAAGGAAGACTGATGACACCTTCAAATTGCTGCATACTATACTCTTTGGAAGGAGGGGAAAGGTGAACTTCTGAGTTCCTGTATAGAGTATTCTGGCTGTCCTTCCTTCCTTCCTTCCATGCCATACTCTTTACCTTTTCCGTCTCTTCTCTTCTTCTTTTTCATTCATTGACTGTAAAGTTTCATATCACTTTATTCAATGCAGTGTTTCTTGTAGATGAAGACTGAAATAAGTTATCTTGGAAAAAATCTTGCCATCGGATAATCATGGATTTTTGTGTAGTAACTTTTTTACGTGAATGATACTA